ATATAGTATATAAGATATAAAGTATATATTATGTATAGTATACCGTGTGCTTCAACTGCGCTTACCATCGTGAACTGAAAATGTGAACAAGTCTGTTCGGGTGAGTGGAAGAGGGCTGATTATGAAGTGTTCGTTGACGATAGCGTTTGTATTTAGTATCGCGCATTATTAGTAAAAGTATTAGCTCTTGTGTTTTTCCTTTCTCCACCGATTTAAAAACGTCTTGGGCCGGTATCAAACGACAAAATTCATCAACGACAGTATCTGATTGGAGCAACAAGGTTGTGTTAGTAATTGTGTCACCTTGTGTTTTTTTGTCACATGCCGTTAAAAAAACCGAAATAGTGACAAAGGTTGACAAAAATTGACAAAAATTGGAGTCATATATTTTGTCTCCAACTTTATATTTCATATTATATGCCAAATTTTCTCCCTATTACATATCTCGGGACTTTCCAAAATCACCCATTCGACATTTTTGGACCTTATAATATGGACGATTTTTTCCCGCATTCCTCCATATGTAAATATGGATTCCCAGGTCTGAAAGGGCCAGGTTCTCGCCCCTGTGCACCATTTTTTTTTTAATAAATATCGTAGAAGGGTATTTTTATGCAAAATATGATAAAAACATATATAGCCAGCTGTGCCATAGGCCCGATGAGTTTTTAAATAAATAAATAACCCTCCTCGGAAGTTTGAATATCCAGACTTTCAACAGTGTGAAAACAGTAAACACGAAGAAAATACTACATTCGCTAGTAGAAATATGTCGGCAACCGGGACATTCACATGTCTGTGTGATACGACGGGCTGGGAGGTATCTGGAGAACCTGCCATCAGTTGCTATTGTCATTGCAAATCTTGTCGTGTATACGGCGGAGATGCGTCCCAAGTAGCCGGTTATACACCGGAACAGTTCAAGCTCACGAAAGGAGAAGACAATCTCATAAAATACGAGAGTGCTCCCAGTAAGTTCCGACACACTTGCAAGACCTGCGGTTGCATGATATACAACATTCTCCCGAATGGCCTGAAAGTAGTACCCTTGGGTGGGATCAATTGGGCCGACGATGGAAAACCCGTGGTGCCTAACATGCACATCTTTGTCGGGGATAAAGGACTAGAAGACATAACCGACGGTCTTCCTCAACACGAGTCGTTCCCTTGAAATATTTCATTCGCCACTGTAGAACCATCGTCCAAAGGATCCTCTGTATACCGGGGCGTAGGTGGCGCTGTTGTGAGGTTTTTGATCAAGTGTTGCTAAACGCACAGACGGTGATGGCCGATACCTGTTATAGCGAGACTTTCATTTGCCAACGGATATTAAACGATTATTGTTGTATGCTAATAAAAAAGGATCAAATACTACTTACTGCGTCTAGGTATACTTTGGACCATTTTTATCTTAGTTGTACTTTGGATTATATTCATCTTGTTACACGTTGTATTTGATCTCGTCGAGTGCATCGACGCTGTGTTACTCAGATACTTTGTTTCGTATAGCCAACGAGAAAGTACTGTTTCTTCTTCACAATTCTCGTCTGAAGGTGTATATATCGTGGCGTGGTCTTCAAGGATCGTTCGCAGATGCACGTGCCCATTGTGTTGTTTTCGATGTCAATGGTTCACAAGTAAGCTGTGAAACGAATCGTTCTTGAAAATTTAGGTTATAGAGTGCCGTCTGGCCTGTGTACCTCCGGTCTCCGTCAGCCTACACTTTCACAGCCAATGGAGGTACCATGTTATCTGTGTCTATCGATCTATGAAACCACGCCGCACGGGCTTACACTATCATGGACGCCTGTTCCCGTTAACACTACAGAGTACAGGTTTGTCGAGCAGTGACAGATTTATGGAACCACAGTGAGGCATTGAGTGAACCAGGCGTACTTTCATTCTTAAGCTACTGTAGGAACGCAAAACATGCAGACGCTTTCTCAAATTGTTCGATGGTAGTTGTATTGGACACATTCAGAGAAAACTTGCTTTATAAATCATGACCTCTAATAAAGCAGAGCAGAAGCGATATTCCACGCATGCGAACGTGTTTTTAAGCGCAAAGTGCAAAATGGGATATGTAAGTCAGGATGTGTACTCTTTCCAGCGCATAACATTTCGCTAACAGCATATCAGATCATTCCATCTACAGCAAAGCTCAGGAATAAATGACACACTCGCTTACGATAACGTTTAATTTCAATACATCAACTCAAGACACAGAAACATACCGTAAGATATTGTACATTCAAGAAAGTACGAAGTCGGAGAAAGATTAGACAGAGCTGCACAGCCATTTTAACATAGAGACTTACTGTATTGCGAGCATTGGGAACCGCAGGTGGAACAGGACCAGTGGAAGGTAAGTATGCCGGCAGTAGGTCGTATGAATATACCCATACCAGCTATGAATACACCCATACCAGCTATGAATACACCCATACCAGCTATGAATACGCCCATAACTATGAATACACCCATACCAACTATGAATACGCCCATATCAACTATGAATACACCCATACCAGCTATGAATACACCCATACCAGCTATGTATACACCAATACCAGCTATGTATACGCCCAAACCAGACCAGCTATGACTACACCCATACCAGTTATGGAATGGAAGAGAGATTTCGTAGGCCTGTGCGTTTGCGAAGACTCATGGAGAAGGTACACGGTGACATTGAGCTTGAAACTTAAATAATGTGCAGTTGGGTTTTTACTGCCCGATACTTCACATTTGAAGCAGTAGCACATACTACATCTACGGTTCCGTCCTCGAGTTAGTTTCACAGGTCAAGGAGTACGTGAGATATAGGCATATGGCATCATGCTACCGACGTTAAAATACGTTTGATTGACCCGTAAGTGCCCTCTGGTTTCAATTGATCTAAAAGAGGTTGTACGCGCAGTTCTAACTTCCTCTTGGCCTCGTCGTCCAATCGAAGCGTGGCCCAGTATTCCCGCAGCTTTCGTTGATTCTCGCGACGTCTTATCTCGTAAAATACAGCTGCACTGTGGAGGAGCTCACCTGGAACCGGATTTTTCTCACACATTTCCACACGTGCATGAATATCGGTCCTAGTTGGTTTCCAGCAAAACGCGCAGAAATGATTCCGGCCTTTCGGACAGGAAGCACACGTCAGCGCAAAACAAGCATCGAAGGACTCATCCAGAACATGCCCCATCTCTGGGCACTTCATAGTTAATATCTCGTCGGCTATATAGTTAAATACTCTACTTTCAGCCGCTTCACGCTGCTGCTCGAGCAACACTCACCTTGGGTTTGTTAATGAGACACATTGCCTCGTCAAAGGTTTTCTCGGTCACGTGGGGTGCGTAGACCTTAGGTTCCCAGATTTTCTCGCACCCGTGCGCCTGCATTGGACACGGCAGCCATCCGATGGGTCGCGTGATGTGGCTTGTATTGGTCATATCGTACTTCAACCAATCGTCAACGCAACTATCGCAGACTACATGTCCGTTCCGGCAAGTTAAACTCTCCGCAGCAATGAACGCTTCGTAGCAGATTGCGCACTGTCGAGAGGCCTGTACATACTTGAATATCGTTGACTGCATCACTTCTCTCAGGAGTGGGCGGTAAGTGTGATCACTAGCGGTCGTACGATCAATCAAAGCAGAGATATTCATTTCACTCGCATCCGAAGCATGGCCACTCATATCCAACCCCTCGAAGATGTCCTGCAGTACCTATCCCAAGGAATAAACATCTACACTCTTGTCGTACTTGTCCACTGTTCCCATGCGTATTTCGGGCGCTTCGTGCTTGCACGTCAGTCCCACCGAGGAAGTCATTGTGCTGTTGGCATCGTGCACATCATCGAAATCGCCAAGGATGGCCTACAGCGAATGTTTTGTGATGTTTTAACAACAGAATAGATACATCATCTGATATAAAGACCCCTTGCAAGTCAGTGATAAAGTCGATGAAGTATATAACACAAGCAGCATATATCCAAAGATCGACCAGCAACATTCCAACCTTGAGACTCTTACAGATCTTTAGACACCCACAACAAATAAGACACTCACAACCTGTTTACTAACCTTTAATGTAGGTGTCAAGAATATGTTCTCCAGCTTCAAGTCACAGTGTACGATGTCCTGCTCGTGCAACCCTTCCACAGCACACACTATCTGGTGAGTCATTCGCGGGCACAGTTGCGGGTCACGTTGCGGGTGGTTGGTGATCCATATGGCGAGATCACCATTCTCATAATAGAGTATGAGCACAAGGCCCCACTTGTCCTCAATGAACACCCCAACCACGGGCACCACGTTCATCACCCCGCGCAACGCTCCCAGTTTGCTACAGGTTTTGAGGAAATGCATATGAAGTTCCCTTGTGGTGAGATGATAGGACTTAATAGCCACTTGCGCTCCCTCTGTATCTGTGCGAAGTGTCACAGGTCGACCGGGACGATCCGACAGCTGGCTGACAAAAGCGTATTTCTCAATTGCGTCATCTTTCCGCAACAAGCCCTGCTCAGCACACTTCATCTCGTATTCTCCCATACTGAAGTACGCCTGTACTCTCGGAAGATTGAGCAGTTTCGGGTGATGTTCGTCAGCTCGTTGCAGCCACTTTGATAATTCGCGATCAGCATCTTTCTCTCGAATGCGCATTTCTCGCTCCCACACCTCGAGTGCTTCTTGTAAGCGTTGCGCCTCTGCATCATCGCCAGCCAGAATGATTCGCGCACCCCATTTCTTACGCTCTGACTTAACATTGCCACTCTGTGTGTGCTGGCTGACAACTAGCGACACATCCGGAATAAGCAACCTCTCACGCAGCTGAATGAATACAGGTTGTACTTTGCAAAAGTCTACCAGTATTTGAGAGCCTTTCGTTTGGTCCTCTAATTCGTTTGTGAGCGCAGCCATGCACCGGTCAATCCACGATTGTGTCATGAGCTGTTCTGCGTCCTCATACTCATACTCGCGCAAAACGAGAAGGGAAGCTGCTCTCGTAAATGCTGAATGGACGTATCACACTCTGCGCGGATATCGGACATGTGGCCAAGTGCGGTGGTGAACTGTTCACTGACGCTGCAGGCATCCATACACATCTGCCGCATGTCCTCAAAGCCAAGAGCTCCCGTCGAATCTTCATCCTGCGACGGTGCACATGTGCGTAGTGTGTCAAGCGCTTCCACCGCTCGATCCTGAATGCGAGCAACTGGATTCTCCGAACGATGCAGCAATGCAATGGAAATCAGATCGATAGCCTGAGACCTCACGCGATTGCGCTCGCGGATGGCGTCCTCGTTGACGTCTTCCGAGGTGCGGATCTGTTGTTGCAACTGATGAAATTTCACGAGAATAGCCTCGGCCTCAGTGAAGTGCTCGGCGGAGCGCTCCGCCGGTTTCGCACTTTGCAATTCCATCAGCACTGCACAGCAGTTGGTAAGAAGGTCGATCACTCCACGCCGCGTGTGACGCACTTTTGTTGCGTGCTTATAGCACACATCTATGTCTAACACATTCTCAGATACACTCTTCCCAAAACCAGTGAGTACCGGTAATTTCTCAGCGTCGCGGGTCAATTGGCTGGTCCTTTTTGTTTGCTGTTTGGTATCATACACAAATGAGCAATCATATGAGGTCTGCGAGAGGTCTGTGTTATTGCCAGTGTTTGTGTACATGTTCATGGTCACACAATTGGGTACTAGCAAACTGTAAAGATATATCTATGGGTTTAGGGGGGCAGTGAGCTATATGAACTGTGATGCTTTCCTCGACACTACGTTTTTCCAGACCAGATACTTTTTGATACGAAGTTTGCATGCGAGGGATTCCTAGTCGCGGTATTGACTAATCAATTATTTCGCGCTCTATATCAGGTTGATATATTGTTTTTAGAAAAACATGTCTGTGCTGTATTCACGGATTGTCACACAATTGATGTGCACTTACCTCGCGTTGCAGTATGTTTTCCTGTACACTTTGCAGTGTCTGCAGAGCTATAGGAAAAAAATTGTGCAGTCGGCGATATGGATAAAAACCGAGGGACCTGTCCACCTGGTGTTCAAACATATGAAGTGAAGCAGAAGCCCAGGTTAGAAGAAAAACATGACAGGATTTTACTGGATTCATCTACACGCCAGGATAAAGCAATACATTGAATAGAATCAGTTTCTCATGGAGCCTTGTTGTACTCGTACTAAAACACTAACTATGAACTAAAAAAGAATGTGGATTTATGTGTATGTAAGTATATTACATTATATATATATATATATATATATATATATATATATGTATGTATGTATATATATACATAAATATATATGTATATATGTATATATATATATATATATATATATATCGATATAGAAATACATTATAGACATAGATATAGATATATATATATATATATATATATATTATATATATATATATATATATATATATATATATATATATATTCATATCAAAGATCAGGTTTGTATCATCCTGCAATCTGAAGATCCTTTCTCTAGTGTCATGCCGTCAACTACTCACTACCGTATGAAGCAGGTGTAGTTACATACATGGTGAATATTTCATTGAATGTACAAATACGGGAGCAATTTAATATGTACACAGCGAGTATCTAAAATAGATACTATTGGTGCAGGGGGCTCTAACTCTTGAATGTCATACTCGTGAACTTTCAGAAAAATTACCTAGAGCTGATGAAGAGGTTTAAATTAGGCTCGGGATATTTCAGAAGTAATTGATGAAGCTCGTTTGTTTCAAGAGAATACAGTGACTCAATTGGTACCAGACTATAGGTATACACAGGCGTGCAGCAGAGAAATAATCAAAAGCGAAGACAGACCATACATATACATATCGTGACATGATCCTCTAGAGAGAGATAGGAGTGGAACATTCAAAATTAGGCTGATCGTTACAAATATGAATAATGAGCTACGAGAAACAATGCATATAAATACAATAAGCGACGAGAAAGAATATATATAAACATAATATGCGACAAGAAACACTGTATATGAGAATAAAAGGCGACGAGATACAATGCATATATGAATATAAAGCGACAAGAAACAATGTATATATAAATAAAAAGTATGTGTGTGGAAGATTGTGACAATCCGCAACACTGACACTTCATTCAGCAGTCTCCGTAGACACAGATACATATGAGTTACTTAAAGAAAGGTCACACCACAATAGACTTTCCCCTTAACATATATTGTAGTCGTGCTAAGATAGTTATGTATGCCAGTTCAAATATCATGTAGTCGTGTGTGCTACAAAGTATTCTGAAGAAGTATGTGCTACAAATTATTCTGAAAAGGTGTGTGCTACATATATCTTCAATATAAGATCTCGGAGATACCCGTGAATGAGCAATGTGAACACCTCCGGGACACATATGCAGCGTTTGACTGAGGCCTTTACATGTGTGTAATACATGGAATAATCTGATGCATTGGAAAGTTTTTACAGCACATGAATCACAACTACTGTGCAAAAATCAACATCGAAAGGAGAGCAAAACACACAGTTACATATAATTACCTTCTCGAGAACTGAGTCGTCAGCACCATTGTTCAATAGAAGCTCAATAACTTCGATATGTGACTTCTTACACGCCGCAAACAACGCTGTGTATCCTTCCTGTGTAACATCATCATCAGAAAGAGAACGCGGTCAGCACACCTACAACACTGATTGGCGTTAGGTGAATCTAGGAATCAGAAGACATCCTTTTCTCGACAGATTCTTAGCATTGTGAATTGGTAAACCTACACATGGAGTTCTAGTGTACTGCCCCACGATATCCGCATTGGCATTGCACCCCATGAATATTTAACTGCTCTCAAAGGATTGGTACACTGACGAAATATACCAGATAGTTATCATTTAACAAGTAGCCGACTCTCCATGTTGAAACGTATGAGATATTATTTTAGGGTTTAGGAGTATCGCTATTGTCAGTGTACTTGCTGGTTGTCCTTCGATTCTTGTAGTTTAGTTATCAGCAGCACTTCTAGAACAGTATTTTTTTCAAATAAATGTGCACTCAGAAGCTATTGACACTCATTTGAGATTGCCCGTTCATGACTCAGTCCCAAACTATATGTATATCACCCGATATCCCAAAAGAATTATATGACAGAGACAACGTCGAGCTATGCGTCCGTTGTGGTTTATGTATAATGTATGACGCATACGATGTACGAATCAAACACGCACAACCAGACAGCGCGAGAATCTGAAACAGTGCAGACAATGCAGAAATTCTCAAAAAAAAAAAAGCACACAATGACACCTTCACATGCAGCTAAAAAATACTCACGGGGTTGATATTGGCTCCGTTCGCCAGCAGCAGTTGTACCACATCTACATGCCCATACAGACATGCCGTAGTCAACGGATTGGCTGGTCCGCCTGGCCCTACCGGATGCCATCCCCCTCTGTCTGGCTCATAGTGGTACTGTAGGGCAATATGAAGGACCAACCAATCAAGTCAGATAAGTCATCGAGACGCAATCACAGCAGTGAAAGTATCGGAGCATCGGCTGATTGTACAGTAGTGAAAGCGTAGGCTGATCGTACAGTAGTGAAAGCGTAGGCTGATCGTACAGTAGTGAAAGCGTAGGCTGATCGTACAGTAGTGAAAGCGTAGGCTGAAAGCCAGCTCACGGGAACATTCATGCATGTGTGTGTCACGACGATTGAACACGAAGGTTACGTTGCCGCCACTGTCGAGTAGTAATTTCTGCTTCGCACAAGATAATATAAAGCCAAAGGGATAGATTCCTCAAACTTGAACTTCACTATAATCTTAACTTTTTATCGTCCAACATAATCTTAACCTTAACATTAACCTTAGCCTTCATCTCATTTTAATCTTAACCTGAACATTAACTTTCACTTAAATTTTAACCTCAATCTTCAACTTAATCTTAACTTTAACCTTAACTTTTAACCTGAACCTTAACATCAACCATAATCTTAATCATGATCTTAATCACAAAATTGTATAGCAACTGCCAATATTGTGTGCCACCCAATACAAAAAGTGGTATTGCGTTTCTTACTTGCAATCTGCTCTAAAGGGAGTAGTTGGAATATGCACGAAATAGTTTTTCTTTGCCAGGTTAGAAGTACCCTGATGCATAGCGACTGATTACAAGTCTTAAGTGACAGGCCGTACACTGGCATTACTGGAGTGATTGACATCGACTATCTTTACGTAAAAATATTGTCGTCAGTGACAGATTGGCTGCCCATAATTTAACATGGTACAGCGTACGTGTTCAGTGCATTTAAAGAGCTACTACGCCTGTGCGAACAGCTCAAAACAGCAATTAAAAACACTTTCAGATAACAAGTACGTGCCTCATTCCGATCGTTTAAAGAACAAACAACAAAGAACAACTATACGACATATATCGAAAACATGAATGCGCGTGCACGTAAACATTTGACTAGGCGACTCGATGAAAGTGATGCTCGCGTGCGACCACCACTTTCGCCGCAAACGAACCCTCTTGCCATCACAACTGTTTGTTCATTTAATTCCACCCTAAAAAAAATCGTCGCAAACGGCATTTTTACCGTGACACTTTTTTGATACGTTCTTTGTATCCTAATAACTTTCGACGGAGAGAGACAGCTTGAATTCCTTGTGACCATTGAGACAGCTTTATTGTTCTGAATGGACAGTAATATTTGAGACGACCCCATTGGTTTGAACTATAATATTTGAGACAATTGCGCTGATCCAAGCATATAGCACTTACCTCAAATAGTGGATCATTCACATTGAATCTAGGGCTGTCACTGTCGATCAGTCAGCGTACCTTATTCGTATCACCAACACTACATGCATCGAATAGTTCCAACTCGCCTCTGGTACAATGCATATTGTAAAGGCCAAGCTATCTATTTTATTTTTCCTATTTCCGTTTCTGATGTGTGACTAATCCGAAAACGACCTGCGGTCGTTGATACAATAGTGTCGTTCCTCTCTACTAGTCTACTCTCCATCAACGTCAAATTATTCACCTGTAGATAATCTTATTACCATAAATAATGCCACAGCACATTCTCCAGAGCAGATCTGATGCACAATCACAAGTCAGTAGTCACAACTAATAAATAACAACTCGCAATATTCGATAACTCAACTCACACAGTTATATTGCATACTTTGACTCGGGAGAGAGAGAGAGAGCATAGTTTTGTAATACCCCCGTGGCGCGAAGGCGTCAAGGCGTCACTAGCGTGTCGTCATCGCTTTGTGTTTGGATTGGTCTAGAAAACTCGCCAATATATTTATTTTTTGAATACACTGTACATATCTCCATAGCCTTCTGAAAATTTTAATTGCAGAAGGGCGTAGGTTATACCATTTATGGATGATATTTCATACTGAATGTTCTATATTTATTTTTAGTAAATAGGATGAAACCTTGAAGAGTTCCATCAAATTCGGACATATGTATTTAGCCGGTACAGAGTCATTACACGTAGGCTTCAATGCATAGCCTATGTTTTATTTAGTACTTGGGCTACCCTACGCATTACACTTTGTACATTTTGGCAATTTTCGGCCTTTTGTACTCTCTAAAACTCCGGTGTTTTGTACTCTGATATACTTCGTAAATACTTCGTAGTGTCAGACTAGCGAAGAGAAACACACACAGCGCAACACACATGCACAGCCGGACAATCAGCTCTCTGTCTCCCATTATACCAGACAAAGAGCTACTGTCTGCTGATTGGAACGATGATCGAGGACAACAGCATCGGGTTGATAGGTGGATACTTACCTTCAGCTCACTAGTGCTTTTACGCGTGTCATATTTGTGGTCGGTCCTTGTGTGTGCTTGCTTCATAAGGTGTGTGCACGCAAGTGCGTGCGCGCGTGCATGAGAAATCAGACAAGTCGAGACGGATATATTGAATTATTTATTTGTCTACTGTAACTAATCGGAGCGCAGAATAGGTACTGTCGTATATAGTCGGCAAACTGACAAGGTAGATACTCTAAATCAGTCGTGTGTACTCTCAGAAGTTGTCGCTCTCGTGTGTGTATTTAGGATATTTCTTCTCTTTTTTTTAACACC